TACACTCTGACTTGTCCCTAACTACACTGGTCATACAAGTAATTTTGCTCATTAAATTCACACTTATTTTAAGTTTTGTTCATGAACAAAATTTGAGCCAACCTTCGAAGCATTATGAAAAGAAGCCCTTCGATACTCCTCTATGAGTATTCCATTATAATTCACAGGAAACCAAACAAGTCGTTCGAAATCTCTGTTGATATAGAAGACAACGATCTTTGCCCGCGATCTTAACTGCTTTTATGTCAATCGACATCATAGAACCCAAAAAAAATTGTTTTTATCTTATGTTTTGGAACACATCTTTGCACGCACTGAAATCATTGAGTTTCTGAGTAATACAAACTCAGGCTACTGATTTTGAAAAGTCTAGCAAATGACTTCGCTTCTCAACGCAAAAGCAAAAGAGCCCAACCTCCATGCCGAAGGTTCATTAACAGTTCTTATTAATCGGGGTAGTTCAAATTACTGATTGATGTGACAGTTTGGTTGCTGCATGGTTTTCATGGAAAAAGTGCACATCACTTTTCAGGCATGGAATATGGTGTGGTAACTGACCCTATTCTCAAGGAAACACATGGCATGATTTTAATGAATAACCACTTCAAATTCAAACTTTTGGTTTACATATAAAAGGGTATTGGGGATGTTTCATTCACTTTTTACACGATCATACTTAAGTTTTCCCCAAATTTCTTTCCTTCTATTCTCAAAGCTTCAAACCCTATCAATGGCAGCCATACATATGAATGTTCATCCTTCTCAAACCATTGATGATACCACATCTTAACCTATGTTGAGGATTCAGAGTAGCAACTATGTTGTTCAAGCTAATGTTATCAAGTATCCTAAAGAGCTGAAGATGTTGATTGTGGCGTTGATCACTCGGTCTTATCTACAGTGATGTTAGCTTGTTTTTCTGTTCCGATAAGATGGATGTCACTTGCTGGTTAAACTGTTGTGTTTAACAAGAAAACTAAGGTGGTTAAGTTTCAATTTGAAAATTACAAGAAGTACAAACTGTCAAAGAAGCAATTCGCCCAAATCCTGAGCATTCCCAATACTAAACGTTTCTATAAGGTCGCGAATGAACAAACTGTTCATATGTTTAATTAGATGGGACATCAACCTCCGCTTACAAATATCAGTGATTTCAAGAAATCTTCATTACCCCACATCTAGAATTTTTTCTTTGTTATATTCCTTCGATGTTTGACAGGCCGAGGTGTAGGGTTGGATAAAGCTAAATTAGAGGTATATGCAATGGTTGCTGGTATTTACTATGTTCTTCAAGTGGATTATGCAACTCAACTATCGCAAGAATTTGGGAATAGTATTGGCCACACAAGTGTTGTGAATCGAGTTTCTTGTGCTCATTACTGGATTTTGGTTTTAAGGTATTTCTACGAAAATATGGGTATTCTGGTTCTCAGTGGAGGATAATTCTAAAGTTTTTCTAAGTGTTGCAAGGATTCCAGATGCAAAGATTCAAAAAGTTAATCCAACCAATCTAGCTCTGGTGTCTTATCTTAAAACTATGAATCCTTCTGAAAAAACATGTGTTCCTTTACCAAAAGGGATAGGTGGTCCTTCGAAACGTGGCAAGGGTTTGAAGAATGCTACCAACGCTAGTCCATCGAAACCTGAACCTATTTCTACTTTAAAGAAGGTTACTAAGCTTGTCCCTCTTCCAGATCAAGATCCTAAAGACCCTGCGAAGGGAGTTGTGCCTTCAAAATCTAGAGTTTTAGAGAATTTTAAAAAAATGGTTTGTAGGCCTCATCATTCTTCTAAAATACAGCCTACTAACGAATCTATTCCTGAGTCGTCTCTTTCTTCTTCAAAAGAGACTTTTTTCTTGTAGATTAAGAAAATCTGCAAACCCCAGATCAATCGAAAGAGTGGTGATTATTAGAGGGATTCCTGCTCCTGTTTCTCCAGGATCCAAGAAGTGTTGAGCTAAAGACGTGGTGAAGAAACTTAAAAAGAAGTGAAAGCAAGTGGATGTTGATTTGGATGAAGTTTTTGTTTAAACAAATCTTCAAGGTATTAATTCTCCAATGTTGCAAAGTGATTTTGGTTTCAATTCACCTTTGAGGGACTCACCAGTCAAGTCGACTTTTGAGGCAACTGGTAGTCTTGGTAACAATATGGAAACATCTCATGTGGACACAACCGCTACTCAAGGTGAACCTTTTTTTGTTATGCATCCCAGAGCAGACTTTTAGTCAGACCACCCGAAGATTCTATTGCCAAGTCCAATATGGAGGAGGTTCGAACTTCAGGCAACACTATAGACATATCTAATATGGACACAAATGTCAACATAGGTGATGGGATGTCAAATTCCAAAGCCTAAGGTATTTCAAATGTAACTTGTTCCTGTTTTCATTATTGTCTCTTTTACCTTTAAAACCACACATATGGATACATCCACTTTGCTACCCCTATTTTTTTCTCCAATTCCTACACCTTTACCTATTTCTACCATTTCTCCTACCTTTTCAAATATCATGGATTAACTAATCACTTAGTTATTTCCTTCTCAATCCACTGAAGGACCCACATCGATTCCGGATGATACAACATAAAATGATGATGTGTGTGTTTCATTTGCTGATATTCAATTCGATCCTGGCAAAGAAGATATTCCAGATCACATGTTAATTTTTGGAAAACAATTCAAGATTCTGAATCACAAACTCAACTCCTTGATACAACTTCAAGTTGATACTGATAGTCGTAATAGGATATCGGGGATTGAAGTTGATGTTATGTTGAAATCTCAAGAACTTGGATTGTAGAACATGATGGATTGTATTCATAAAAACAATGAATTGAGGTTGAAGTCTCAGTTTGATGCATTTAATCATGAAGTTAAAGATTTGAGAGCAGTAGCCAAAGAAAACCACCTTTTATTAGTTGAAGTTGTCAAGAAAATAAAAAAGGATGTGAATTTTAAGATTAAAGAGATTTGACAAGAGATGAAGAAGGAGGTTACCAAAGTAGATCAGAATTATTCCAATTTTCATATAAATGTTGATATTATTGTTGAGGATGTTACAAAGGTTGTCAAGTTACACACTTCACTCTTTGCTAAAGTGGACTTAAAGTCCGAGTCTGATTCGAAGGTTTGAAGGAGTTGATTTCGAAGCTTAATATTTCTCCTTCTTACTCTATTTCTCAGGAATTGGTATCCCAAATGTTCTCTTCATTGAAATCTCATTTGAAGGCTGACCTTGATCCTCTTTTGAAGTTTGTTAATTTGATGCCTACGGCTGCCCCCACCTGTTTCCATAAGGGTGGAAGGGGGAGAAAAGGGTGTTGGTGCATCAAAGGTTTCAGATCAAGACAAAGTTATTGGTAAAATAATAAGAACTCGAATTTCGACTTCATTTCCAGTGTCTATAATAACTACTTCAACAACCACAACTTCGAAGCCTTTAACAAAAGGTGTTGTAATTGGTTCATCTACTGGTGGATGAAGTTCAAATCCACCTCAATCAACAAAAGAAATGAAGGGAAAGGGAAATGGTATTTTGATAGAACCAACTACTAAGGAGAAGAAGTTGGCCTTGGAGCAGGAAATGGAGAAGCAAAGAATAGTTTAGAGTATTCTTCGATAAAGACAGAGTGAACATCCTGGTCTCGATAAGGGTGATCTATCAAAACGTTACAACTATAAGACAATTGAAGCTGTTGTTTTCAGTGGAGTTATGCATGAATTCGCTAAAGTTCCTAAAAAGCGATTTGACATCAAAAACTCATATTTCAATTAGCTGGACATCCTTATCAATAAAATGTTGTTCATTTCTTCTCAATATAAATTTGTTGCTAAATGTGAAGCCAAGGAACAATTTAAAAGATTGAAGCTTAGAATCCACAAAGTTCATGGAAAAAGAGAAGAATAGATTTGGTCCTTGGTCAAGATTGTGAATGTTCTAAATATCTCGAAGGATGCTCTATTTGAATGAGTTTTTGTAGAATTTTTTGATTTCATGTTGTTCAAGCCAACAATGTTGCATTTGATTTTTCAATAGCTAGTTTCCCATTGATAAACATCAATGATCTCATCAATGTTACTAAGATTTTGAAGAGGATAGATGTCTCAAAGTTTCAATTGACCAACAAAGAAGAGTTTTTACTTGGGTTCGCAAACATAAAGCTCTTCATCAACAATTACTTTGATTGTCTTGCAGTGACAGATGTAGAACTAGCACTTGCGATGGGTAAACAAATTTATGTGCCTCAGTTAATGTTAAAAGGGAAGGTGGTCTTAAAAACTTTGTAGATGGTGAGATTTGCATGAAGCCTTTGGGTATAGTGTTTTTTGGGAAGAACAAGAAACACTACTAGAAAAAAGGCCTTTTACGACGCTCATTGCGCGTCGTAAAAGGCTCAGACGACGCGCAAATGCGCGTCAAGGAAGGCCATGTCATAAAGATAGACGATGCGCATTTACGACGCTCCCTTATGATACGCATTGCGTGTCAAGGAAGGCCATGTCATAAAGGAAGACGACGCGCGCTTATGATACGCATTGCGTGTCAAGGAAGGCCATGTCATAAAGGAAGACGACGCTCAAATGCGCATCGTCTACAGACGACGCGCGCTTATGATACGCAATGCGTGTCAAGGAAGGCCATGTCATAAACAAAGACGACGCTCATTCGCATGTCCTAACCTTACGTCTCTCGTTTTTACTACGCGCCTTTACGACGTGCATTTAAAACACACATTTACAACGTGAATACACATAATAAATGACAAATATACCAAAACATTCATTTTCATCTAATTGTCAAACAACTTTACATATATGTTGAATTACCTAAGTTGTAACTACGTGTTACCTTAAGTAACATTACTAAAAGTTAGCAAAAAATTGTACATGTGTCTCAAAAGACTACCTAGCATTACACATGTCAAAAGACCATACCTAGCATTAGTGGTTAACCATAACATTGTTTTGCGGATACATTGTCAAAAGATCATACATATCATCGATAAATGAAGTCTGTAACAAACGTTGACCATTCTTCACGTATCTCATCGATATCAGCAGCTGTGTACTCAACTTTGCCATCCCCGATCTGTGAAAACATTTGCATATTGTTTTTATTAATAAAAAATAGCATATTAACATATTCTGTAATAGTAAGTTGATATATTTAACAACTAAGCATAAAATGTAAATTATTCTTTCTTAATAGAGCATTGTACTTTCAAATGAATGAAAGCACATATTCTGTAACAGTAAGGATGCCATGAATTATAGTAATGAAAGTAGAATGCTATATCCTTACATTGTCTTTGACCAACACTTCAATTCCTTCTTCCACTATCTCCTTCATGAACCTTAGCATGTAGTAGCCACATTCGGTAGATCCGGGCTGAACTGGACACTACACAATTACATATAAAATGATCATTTCAATTGATCCAAAAAATAAAGTTAAAACTACAATTTCAATAACGAATTAAGTGCTGACCGTAACATTAACCCAATTTAGTTTAACCCTTTTGTTGGATCCACTTTGTGTAGTGTACAGAACCATCGCCCTATAAAAAAACATTAACAAATATGTGTTTATTGTACTCACATCAAGTGTTTTGATAATTTATATTACTTACGAATCAACAATTTGCTTTAACTGCATATTGAAATTGGCAGAGCTCAAGGAATCAAGATAATAGCAAGTATCCGATTTCATGTCTAGTACACCCAATACCCAATGTCTTCTACAAAAACCACAAAAAAAATGTCAAATAACATAATTGCAGTCATTTTAAAAATAAAATGTCAAATAACAATACCCGGGATTGTAGGGCATAAAGATGATGTCATTGCCCTTTCTTTTAGACAACCGATCTGCTAAACCTCTGCTTGCATCGTCAATATTCTTAGATTTCCCTTTACGCGTACTTGGTGAGATTACTGCCGGGTTCACAAAGCAAATTCCATGGTCTTTTTCTGGGGAGCCATACTTCAATTTGTTAAACAACACCCTGTTATCATACAAACACTAAATTCATTAAAACATTTTTTTTAAGACACATTGTTATTTAAATTAAATTTCTTGCACTTACATCATATAAGACACAATAACAGCACCGGTCAGCTCATCCATTGTAAGAACTGCTTCAAAATCATCCCAAGTTAAGTACGTGTAACTATCGTACCCAAAAAGATCATTCTCACTCTGCACTCTTATAGAATCAACCTTTGTAACTTGTCCATCAGCCATCATTGCAGTCATTTTCAAAATACTACTGTTCTCAATCCTTATCCTTGTCTTCATCTGTGCTCTGGTCCACCTTCTTTGCATGGTCACATTTTGTTTCTCCTTTTTAATCTTCTTTTCTATTCCAATCAGTACTTCTTCCACATCATTCCCTTCTTCCACATCATTCCCTCCTTCCATATCACATGGTTGTTTTTCTCCATCAACCATTTTTCCTGTCCCCTTTTCTTTCTTATTACTTCCTATTTCTTCTTTTGGAGGTGTTGCATCTTCCTTCACTGGTGTTACATCTTCATTCACTGGTGTTGCAGCTTTCTTCACTGGTGTTGCATGCTTTTTCACAGATTTCGCCACCACTTTTCCCTACAAATGCAATCAAAAATACAAATAGTATTACCAGAAAAATTAAGAACTCACTCAAATATCAGAAAAATTAAGATAACCAAGGGAAAATATGTTCAAATAGTATTACCAGGTCAGAGCATCGAATAACTAAGTGTCTTGGCCAACTTAGTATGTGTCCCAGTGCATCTTTGACCTTCACAATGAACTCCTCTTCAAGTGGAAAGGGTACTAAAGCTTCTCCTTGCAAAATTGTTTCAATCATAACTTCAATGTTTTCATCTGTTACATAAACATAAAAAATAATTAAGATCCAATCTTCTAAAAAATGAAAATATATAAATAATAATAATGCAAATATATTTCAAAATACCCGATGCTTTCATTATGGTTCCTTTAGCAACTACATTTGCAGCAAATTCAACCGCAAGAAGACATGAATTATCCTGAAAAATATAGTATGTTAGTTTGTAGAAAAACAAAATTATTTAAATATATTTTTCATAATTGTCTTCAAGGACTTACAAGTGATTCATTATGTGGTTGTTTTTCAAAATCTTCGATGACGCCCCCTATTTGGCAACTTGCAGCTTCAAAAACATTAAGTACACCTCTTTTTAGTTTCTCCAAGTCATCTTCAAGTTTGTTGATTCGTTTATCCACCCTCTCGTTCTCAATCTCCAAGTAATACTTAACATTCTTGGGTAAATAAAAGTATTGTTGTGGCGTTATAAATCTACCCATCCCTCGTACACGCCCACGTTGTTCCTGAGTACCCAACGCCTCTGTAAGCACATCATGTGTTCCACATGTAACCTCTCCAAAGCTTCCCGATTTCTGAAGCTCATCCTGTAAAATAAAATGGGACAAATGTTAGAAAAATAAAATGGGACAAATGTTATTTTTTTATATATTTGGGAATTAATGAAACTTACAATTTTATCAACAATCGTCTTCACATCTGCATCGTATCCTCCTGTCTTCAACTCTCTTGCCTTTTTCCACAGCAGTGTCCTATCAATCTCCTCTTCCGTCTTGCCGGTTTCTTGCATCTAAATTATCAAGAATAACAAAGTCAATTAACATATATATATACAAATAAAATAATCAATATTCAGTGGGAATCATACAATGTCATTAATGAGTCCAGCATATCCTTTTCTGCTCAAACGATGATTGTATTTATGATGTGCACGAGTATTTTTAGCTTTCATACTTTTCTCCTGCATTAGAAACATTAAAATTATAAATACAAACATTAAAATTGTAACTACAAATGCATATAATAAAAGTTTAACAAACCTCCCACTTCTTTGTAACTCTATGGGATACAAAAACTTTCCAATCTTCTTTCTTTATAAACGGATAATCTTTCGGAGGTTTGAATAGATTTGCCTTGGTATCTTTACTTCGGTTCTTAATGAACTTGGCATATAGATAATGCTTGAAGTTTCTCCACTTCTTCCCGATCGATTGGAGAATTTGCTTCCGGCTCTTTGGGTCAACTACAAACTTTTCCTGAAACATAAAAAAAGGTTGGTTCAAAAACAAATCTGAACAGGGACAAAAACAGGGACAAAAACAGATCTGAACAAAGGTAATAACAGGAAGAAAACAGAGACTTACCAAAACATATTGCCATAATCCTTCCCTTACTTCCTCACTAACTTCCAGCCACGAGTCATAGGTTATGGGAACCATTGTTCTTGCAACCAAACCCTCAAAAGTAGACAGTTTTGTGGCTTCCTTTCCAACCGGGACACCTTTTTTATTGTAAGTTATTACAAGCTTCACTTTATTAGCTTTTGTCTTTGTTGTCGGACCTCTTTGTTTGGACTCCTCATCGTGATCAGAAGCTGAATCTGATTCCATGTCACAAAAACACAACCTGTTTCAACAAGATTGAAATTAAATTAAGTACGTTGTTATTTGTTGCAGTTGGACATTGATTAATCACATTCAAAATCTGAAATAAAACATACCAAAAACTTTATTGTTCTGCAAAAAAAATATTTACACTAATATGCCCTCGCCATCCGGACGCGTACACAAAAAATCATCATCAAGGTCTAATAAAGCGGAATCTTGTGCTAAATCAAAAGTAACATCAAATTCCAGCATATCATCAGTTTCACCATTTGATCCATACTTGTACATCCTATGAGGTGTGAATCCAACAACATGCAAATTCTCATCTTGTTGATCTTGAACATAAAAAACTTGTTTGACTTGACTAGCTAATACGAAGGGTTCAGACTTTTGACCAAGCCTATCAAAGTTAACTACCGTGAATCCTAAATCATCCTTTTTTACTCCACGACTATCAACCCAATCACACATGAATACAGGAATACTAAACATGTGATAATTAAGATCCCATATCTCCTTTATACGGCCGAAGTAAGTAACAACACCATACACAGGATTGGAGTCTATTGCACTAGCAATATGCATAGTATGTGCAACTAAAGACACTCCACTGCATTGAGTTGTTCTAGACTCATCACGAGATGTTCTATGAAAATGATATTCATTTATGGCAAAACCGCTATTTTTAGTAACAGCAAAATTAGGCCCTTTGGCCAACCAACGAACATCATCACAAATATCTTCCCCGTTAGCCAAACGTTTTCCAACCTAATAGAAAAATATATAATTAATGTAATTCAAAAAAATAATTAAAAATATTGTAATTCTAACAATCTTATTTTAAAAGCAAACCTCTTTCTTAAACCAACTAATAAATGTCCGACTATGTTGGCTCTGCAACCATGTACTCTTGCGAGCATGACGGGGGTTCAGATCCTTCAACTCCAACATATGTTGCCTGAAGTGTATTACAAGTTAAAAGAATGTTTTATATGATAGATAATGGTATAAGAGTATACAGTTTCATGTAATTCTTACTCTATATACGGCTCCACAACAGCAGTGTTTCGTAATACATAAAGATGAGCTTGATCAAGTAACTGAGCATCTACAGCATCAATTGTAGCCTTTGATAAAGGCTTGCCACTGCGGATTCTTTCATCAACACGCTCATGAGGATTGCCAATTGATTTCTTGTTTTTTAAGTAGTCTGAACAAAATTCTAAGGCCTCCTCTGCCACATAACACTCTGCAATGCAACCCTCGGGTCGATGATGATTTCTTACATACCCTTTAAGTGTTTTCATGTATCTCTCAAATGGATACATCCACCTAAAATGAACCGGGCCACACAACCTCACCTCTCTAACTAAATGCACCATCAAGTGAGTCATGACATCGAAAAATGAAGGAGGAAAGTACTTCTCTAACAAACATAATGTTAATACGATGTCACTTTGCAACTTGCCTAGCTTACTAACATCAACAACTTTACTACACAACTCATTGAAAAAATGACACAGGCTTAGGATTGTTCTCCGCACCTTCACATCTAACACCCCTTTGATTGCAAATGGAAGAAGTTGTTGCATTAGTACATGGCAATCATTAGACTTCAAACCATTCATCTTTGAAACATCATCCGACACGAGATTCTTGAAATTAGAGCAATACCCATAAGGAACTTTTATGTTAGACAGGGTTTCATAAAATAGATGTTTCTCTGCGGAATTCAATGTGTACTTGGCAGGCGGAAGCCAATGTCGATCCCCTTTTGGTTCAGGTCGTAATTCAGTCTTGATGCCCAACGCTTCAAGATCTTGTCGTGCTTTTAATCCATCCTTCGTCTTGTGAGGCAAATTCAACGCTGTCCCATAAACACTCTCGGTCACATTTTTTTCTATGTGCATGAGATCTAACTGATGGCGAACAGGCAACTTCTTCCAATATTCAAGTTCAAAAAAAATCGACTTCTTATGCCAAAATTTAGATCTCTCGTCGATACTTTCTTTTTTCTTCTTTGTCTTTTCCTTCTTTGTCTTTTCCTTCTTTGGCGTTTCCTTCTTTGACGCTCCCTTCCTTGACTTTATCTTCTTTAACTTTATCTTCTTTGATCCTACCTTCTTTGGCTTTATCTTCTTACCCCATGTAGTCTCAAATCCCGCCAGATAGTCATAAATCTCTTCACCTGATGATGGTTGTGGCATAAAATCGTGCTCCTGTTGATTGTTGAAATGTTTTTTTCTTTTGCGAAAAGGATGTTCAAGTGGTAGGAATCTTCTATGCCCAAGGAAGCATACTTTTTTGGACTTTGGCAGCCATTGTGAACAAGTATTCTTTGAACATATTGGACAAGCATAATAACCTTTGGTAACACAACCCGAAAGATTACCATACGCGGGAAAATCACTTATAGTCCAAAGTAATATTGCTCTTAAATTGAAGTATTCTTTCTTATGAGAATCAAAAGTCTCAACGCCAGTTTCCCACAAGAGCTTTAGATCTTCTATCAATGGTGCCAAGTAGACATCAATATTGTTACCAGGTTGGTTTGGCCCGGATATCAACAGAGTCAACATCATGAATTTTCTTGACATACACAAATAAGGGGGTAGATTATATGTTATTAGGATAACCGGCCAACAACTATGCTTGGAACTTAATGACTTGTGTGGATTGATACCATCAGCAGACAAGGCTAATCTAAGATTTCGTTT